CCCCCACAGGGGGGCAATTTGATTTTTAAGGGGGGTAATTCGAGAATGAGTTATCAGTTAATGGCCTTTTAGGCTTCCTCCACATGAATAGGAGTTCACTTTTTGAATAATAAGAATTATATGTCATGGGGGGCATCAGGATTTTAGAGATACTTAGGTGGGGCATTGTGCTGGGCCCGGGGGTAACCCATGAAACACGGTCCAGGACCGGTCCAGAATTTGAAGGTTTCACTGGGAGTCAGTCTGACAGGGCCAAGGCAGGAAACCAGGCAGGATAACAGGCAAGGACAGGTACAGGATCTCAGGCAGGATCTAGCATACAGCAATGTTGCTCCTGCAACCTGGGGAAGGGTCCGACAGCCTTTTATATTTGTCGGGGTAACGGCTGGTCCTGATCCCCCAGCGACTCACCTCTCTGTTTCGTCCGAAGGTGAACACTCCTTCTGCGAGTACTCAGGTCTCTCCTTCTCTCAGACCTTAGTCTCTGCAGCTCGGGAGATGTTGGTGGGTTACTAGACCCAGGGGCCGCCTCAGCCTCTCCTGACTGAACCAGTAGTGGAGCAGCTGTAAGTGATGGCCCAGCTGGAGGCAACGAGGTAATCCCCGCATCTGGAGCCAGGCTCAGGCCCCTGACTCGGCCCAGCTGGTATTTGTTGCTGGGAAACCTGTGCAGACTGGGACTCTTCAGGATCAGGCCCCAGACTTGGTTCAGATGATGCCTGAGGGAAAGGATCCAGTGCAGACTGAGATTCCTCTGGTTCTGAGTCCGAGCCCAAGTCCCAGGCCATCACAGGCATGGCCCCAAAAAAGGCTGGGAACCAGTGCTCTAGTGGGTGCCACTCACATTCCACAGGGATGGACAATTCAGGACAAATTGGTTAAATCATGGAGTTCTCTCCAATGAGATGTTGGATGGCCACCAACTTGGATGACTTTAAAAGAGGATTAGACAAAGTCATGGAGGATAAAGCGATTGATAGTCCATAGCCATGATGGCTATGTTGCTTCGAATATCAGTTTTGAGGAATGAGAAGTGGGGAGCGTGCTTTTGAGCTCAGGTCATTCTTGTGAGCTTCTCCTAGACATCTAGTTACCCACTGTGGGGAAGAGGATGCTGGGCCATTAGCCTGTTCCAGTAGGCAACCTCTTGTATTCTTTTGTTACACCCCTTAACTCACAAACGTGAACCCACTTTGCCAACAGCTATGGTGGTTTCAAACACCTGTTTCCTCCAAGCATGCCTTCCTTTTTTCATCTTCGTCAAGATTATTAGATTTGGGGGTGGAAAACTGAGAAGCTTCTAGTTCTTCTTTTGCAAAATTTTCATCTCTGTTGTCTGAACCATTTATATAATGTTTGAAAAGATGCAGTTGTCATGTCATTCTTGTGTTATCCGCGATGAGGCTGTGGTGGTAAAGGCTCCTTGTATTTTTCCGAATGCAATTCAGAGTGTTGGTGCTGACCTTTAAAGCCCTAACCGGCTTCAGCCCTGTATACCTGAAGAAGCGTCTCCACCCATATCGTTCAGCCCAGACACCGAAGTCCACTTCTGAAGGTCTTCTAGAGCATGGGTAGGCAAACTAAGGCCCAGGGGCTGGATCCGGCCCAATCACCTTCTAAAGAGAGAGCCAGTGTGGTGTAGTGGTTAAGAGTGGTAGTCTTGTAATCTGGTAAACCGGGTTCGCTTCCCCGCTGCTCCACATGCAGCTGCTGGGTGACCTTGGGCCAGTCACACTTCTTTGAAGTCTCTCAGCCCCACTCACCTCACAGAGTGTTTGTTGTGGGGAGGAAGGGAAAGGAGAATGTTAGCCGCTTTGAGACTCCTTAAAGGGAGCGAAAGGCGGGATATCAAATCCAAACTCTTCCTCTTCTTCTTCTAAATCTGGCCCGTGGATGGTCTGGGAATTGGCATGTTTTTACATGAGTAGAATGTGTCCTTTTATTTTAAATGCATCCTTGGATAATTTGTGGAGCATAGGAATTTGTTCATTATTTTTTTTCCAAATATAGTCCGGCCCCCCACAAGGTCTGAGAGACAGTGTACCGGCCCCCTGCTGAAAAAGTTTGCTGACCCTGTTCTAGAGGTTCCCTCACAGCGAGGTGAGGTTACAGGGAACCAGGCAGAGGGCCTTCTCAGCAGTGGTGCCCTCCCTGTGGAATGCCCTCCCATCAGATGTCAAGGAGATAAATAACTATACAACTTTTAGAAGACATCTGAAGGCAGCCCTGTTTAGGGAAGTTTTTTAATGACTGATGTATTAATGTACTTTTAATCTCCTGTTGGAAGCCGCCCAGAGTGGCTGGGGCAACCCACTCATATGGACAGGGTATAAATAATAAAATCACCGCACTGGACTACGAGTCCCATCATCCCTGCCCATTGGCTATACTTCTCACCACTTGTGCTAAGGGTTGAAAAACTGGAAGAGTGTAATGTTTATGTTTTGTTTGCCAAACAGGAGGCGTATATGACACCGAGAGGAGGAGAACAGGGGGAAAAAATGAAGAAGAATTAGCTGAGACCGCAGAAGAGAAGGTGAGAGCTCAGAGGCGTGATTTCAAGGATTGTGGCTTAACGCCTGACATCGCAGCAAGCTGACTCATGTGAATTAGGGTTAATTATAGAGCACTTTGTTGTATAAGCTCTGGAATCCTCCTTTGCATAAAGAGAAAGGTGATCCTCAGGATTTTGAACACGATGCCTGCTTAAATCGCTTAGCAAGAAGATGCTCTGCGTAGTCTGTCATTACTGGGTAGCACTGCAGGAATGCAGAATGTGATAAGACAAATAAGCATAAGAAGTGCCTTCCTGGGTCCAGATCTCCCAGTATCCTGCTTCCAACAGGGGACTGACAGAGAGCTTCAGGAAGCACACACCCAAGGCATGGAGACTATCACCCTTCCTTGTTGTTTTGCCCCAGGCACCCTGCCCTGTGTGTTCGTGTCTGGCAACTGCATTCCTTGAATAAACCACTGCTCATGATACTGCCTATGCTTAGTTTGCAGTACAAACCACATAATGGTTCTGTGGTTTCAAAGTCTGTTCTTCTCTGGTTCATCTCATTTTCTTTTATTGTCCTTTGCTTTGATAGAATGTGACGATGGAGTGATAGTTAGACCACTCTGAGAACTGCAGCTCTTTGAGCAGAATTGGGGTCTCTGAGTAACTCATGCCACCCTTAACACTTCTCAGTAGAATTCTCCTTCGCCTGCCCCTGTTTAATGCGACAACATTTCTCCTCTTCATGTATTGCCTTATACCTCTCTCCCAATCTGCTTTATACTTACTTAAGTTTTCCATAAAAACATCCAGGTGACTGTTTCCTCACTCTTTCCTTCAGAATGTTTACTGTAACTGTAATACGATATATTGGCATTGTTGTCCTTCAAAAGTTTTAAGTACTTAAATGTATGGTGTATATGGTTGCAAGACCTCCAGGTTGGATCTCCAGGCGGCAGTTCGAGGGCTTGAAACTCCAGGTGAGTGAGAGTGCCTTTGATAATAATAAATGGATAAAACAAAATAAAACAATAAAACAATGAGTAAGAAGACTGTGTATGCGGCTTGCAAGATTCAGCCCAGAAGAAGCTGGCTGCAAGTTATAGCAGGGTGTGTGTGTCTGCCTTCTTCTGCTCCCCTCTTCCAATTAACCTCCGTCTCCAAGGCCTGCCCCTGTGACATCACCAGAGGGAGCCCCTGGGTCTTAGTCTGGGGGCCTGAAATCTCAGAGTCTGGTATGCTCCTCACAAGGCACCCCTAATGGTTTACCAACCCTAATGTACCATTAAATGTACCATAATTAGGGTCGCCATATTCCCAAAGGTAAAAATCTGGACAAAGCTGTTGGTTTTTTACAACATTTTTCTTTTAAAAAATCGGCCTCATTGCCATAAGTCCGGGTTTTCCATAATATGGTTGCTTTCTAGTGGTTTGAGAAAGGGAAGAGTAGAAAGGTCTGTGCAGACCTATTCAATTCAAGGCTGAGATCAGGATGAACATGCAAGCAAAGGATGGAGGAGGGTGACCTTTTTATACAGCTCAGAGATTAAATTTCCCGGAAATGAGAAAGAACGTCCCTGCTTTTCAGGACTGACTACTTCACTGCCTTCCTGGGTGTTCCATCATGACACTCCAGTGACAGATTTTTGGCCTGCAGGGAAACAGTTTTGCAACCCAATCCCCATTCCTCACAAACAACTCAAAGAGGTGGAAAATAAAACATCAAATAGGTATGCTTTATTATGTTCATTAAACCGTGGAAAATTATGTGCAGAGCATTTAGCATGCTGGAGTTTCCCACACTTCGTCCTGCCAATGAATTTCAGTGGGTTCATTCTGAACAGGAGTAACATTGAATACAAACCAAATATTTCATCTGGAAGAACCTTTTAAAAAAATTACAGGCCAAAGGAAGTTTTGTTTTAATATTCATTGGTAGCGATGGGAGAGAAATTCATTCCACTTCACACTTAAAGGCAAATCTCTCACATCTGCAGTTTCCTAAACAATATGAGAACAAAAATATAGCCATTCTTCAAAATTTGCACTTATCTGAATTTTGCAAAGTGGTACGCCAACCAGCCAATATTATAAAAAATGCACCATATTAAGAACAGCTGCTTGAAAAATGTGCACATTAGTCAAAACTGCGTTTATCAGGAGAAATTCACATCCAGATGTTGATAAATTTTCATGAGGACTGAGCTTAGGGCCTTCTGCATGCTAAACAGATGCTTTGCTACTGAGCTATGGCGCTCTCCCTTCTATTAAATCAAGATTCCAGTTCTCATGGTTACAAAGAAAGGAAAATAGGAAGCTGCCTTATACTGAGGCCATTGTCCATCTTGATCAGAACTGCCCACTCTGACCACCAGCAGGTCTCTGGGAATTCAGGCATGGTCAAAGCTGAGACCTTTTATGTACAAGGCAGATGATCAGCTACTGAGCCCTTCCTTTGTAAAGCTGTAGTGTTATTTCTCATTTTTTGTAATATTATGTGTCATAGGTCAGTTGGTAAGAGCATGAGACTCTTAATCTCAGGATTTGGGCTTCAAGCCCAACATGGGGCAGAAAGATTACTGCATTGTATGGGGTTTAACTAGATGATCCTCGGGTCCATTCCACAATTCTATGTGCTTTTTTCGGGGGGAAAGGTGGGAGAACTCACTACGAAGTTTCTTGTTTGTTGCTGGCCCAATCGCAGTGGCCCCACCCTCCTCCTGGCAGTGGCTAAAAATAAGATGTGATTAAAAAACTCAAGCAATGATCTGGATTAGAAATGGTCACAACTTTATTGTAAATATAGGTGGGTTAATGTCTCAGGCATTGGGTATATATCCATTCCAGCCCTCCACCCATGCACCAACAAAAAATATTTACCGTACTTTTCCGTATATAAGACTAGGGTTCTTTTTAACTTTAAAATTATGTGAGAAACCGTGGGTCGTCTTGTACACGGGGCAATCTCCCCCCTATTTTCTTAAATCGGAGTCCCTAAAAATAGGGGGCGTCTTATACACACAAAAATATGGTAATTTAAAAAGGTAAGGGAACTCAGTTTTCTTGAGTTCCTGCTAAAAACAAACAAACCCTTGTCTATGATTCTATGAAAAAAGTGAGTTGGATATATAACGGGTTGCATGCAATGTCAGCCCTACTCAGAGTAGGCCCATTGAAATTAATGGACAGGTGTAGATCCTTTTCTTTCAGTGGGTCTACTCTGAGTTGACCTTAGTTGGATGCAGCCCAAAGCTTTCATGTTTAGCAGCAGGGACATATGAAGACCTGGAGAGGATGTGTGTCATTCCTTCCTTTATCATATTTCTCCATCATCGAAACATAGTAAGCTCCATTATGCCAAGTCAGCTGATTGATCCACCGGGGACTAAACCTGAGATCTTCTGCATGCAAAACAGATGCTCTTTCACTGAGCTACATTGCTTTGTGTCTTTAAGCAAACCCAGCCAGCAATAGCTCTTGCCATGATGACCTGCCTATATGGGCTTTATCTTCAAATAGTTTATTTTTTACAATTGCTGTTTATGACATTGCTTTTATGGGGAGAAATTAGTTTAGAGGCAGTGACGGGCCAACCATCCGATGGGACAATTAGGTGTCATGGAACCAAGATCCTAATAATTAGCCTTAAGCTGGGTGCTTAATGAGTAATAACGTCTTTTGAATGCCACCGTCCTCGTGCATGCATTCTGATATCCTCAAAAAATTGCCTCCTGGGTTCTGCCTTCTGGCCCTGATACAGGCTTTTCTGGATCGTTATTTACCAAATAGCTCTCATCAACTCAGGGCTGGGCTGCGCATCCATCCAAAAAATGTGGACCTCGGGACCGAATCGAGGAGGACCGGCAGGAAGAACGCAAACAACTTGATTGGCAAATCAAGAATTCTCCATTCTCCATCTGTGTCTCATTTCCTGGGCTCAGTTTGTTCGGAGCTGTATAAAAAGTCCAACCCCGGCCCAGAGTCCTTCACACATTTGACTTCGCTGCTCTTCGCTTGCTTTTTGATTTGTGAACAGGGTAAGTTATTCTCTTCTGATCCTCATCATTTGGATGCTGAAGCAATGGATGCTGAAGCAAGGGATTGTAGCTCAGGGGTAGAACATCTGCTCTGCATGCAGAAGACCATAGGTTCAATCCCCAGTAACTCCAGGAAGGGCTGGGAAACCCTCCCTGTCTATTTATCCCTGGAGAGCTGCCAGTGTAGACAGTACTGAGCTAGGAGGGTTACGGGGCAGCTTCCAATCTTCTTAGGATTTTCTTTTCTTTTATGTAAATCTGTAGGCAATGATTCAGCAAAGTAAAATATGATATCTTATATAAGGCCTACATAGAAGATAAAGGGGATTAAGGAGGCTTGTCCTCTGTGACTTTGAACCAATGGGTGGATATTGCAGGAAAGCAAGTATTGACTTTGAAAAAAAATGGAAAAAATTCCTAGTTGTATGACATTCATAAGGAGGCGGGCTCTTTCCCCCCCTGAAAGTATTTGAGCAGAAGCAATGTGGACTTCTACAGCAGAGGCAGTAGATCAAAGCATTCTGCACTATAGCTTCCTGCAAGAAACTGAGTGTTGGATTAGATCAGCCTCTCCTAACCCAGTGCTCTCCAGGTGTTTTTGGACTCCAACCTCCAACATCCCTGGCAAACATGGTCAATGGCAAAGGAGGATGGGAGTTGTATTTCAACAGCATCTGGAGATCCCCTTCCATGACACATTGAGACCATTGTACTTAAATGAATGATGTGCCTCCGTTGATTTCAGTTAAATATGGTCTGGGTATGACTTAGTCAGATACCACGGTTTGAATCCAACTACAGTAGACACATTGAAAATGATGGGCGTGAAGTTAGCCATCTCTATTAATGTCTGCGGTTTTACTCTGAGTAGAGGACTAGCACCGGGGATGCAGCCCTATCTGATGGACTTAATCGAGTCATGTCCACTATAATTCAGTGGGCCTGCCCTGATTAGGTAGGTCTAACATTGGATAGAATTTACTATTTATTTATTTAAAAATTATACGTTACTTGATTGTAAGAAAAAACAAAGCAAAAAAAAAAGCAAAACCCCTCAAAGTGGTTTAAAAAATTAATTCCATTGGGTCTGCGAGGATGATAATTTGGATATCGCCCGTTGAATTTCTCACTGTAAAATGCTTAACAACATGCCTGTCTGTGATCTCATGTAGAGTTATTACATGGTTCATATGTGTGTAATTTGCATTATACTAAACAGATTTCAGAATACAAGTTTCTGGAAGATTTTATAAGTACCCTGGCTTTTGACACTTGTGTATATTTTTAGGACCCGTCTTATTTTAAATAAGTTGCTTTAAACTCTTTTTTTTTTAATGTTGTAAACTGCTCTGGGACCTTAGGATGAAGGGCAGGCGATAAATAAATAAAGCCTATTAAAAAATATATGTGCAATGTCATAAATCTGCCATTCAAAATAACCCTTTGATGTGACCCTTTGGGGAAGGACCATAGCTCAATGGCAAACAAGATGCTTTGCGTGAAGAAGGTTTCAGGTTCAATCCCTGGTATAGGCAGGTAGGGCTGGGTGTATCCTCCACCTGAAACCCTGGAGAGCTTCTGCGAGTCAGTGTGGACAATACTGAGCAAGATGGACCCATGGTCTGATTAAGTCTAAGGCAGCTTCCTATGATCCTATGGGGCTCCATTCCCCATTCGTATTTATCAAATGCATTTTCCCCTGTTAATTCAATGGGAAATATTTGTGCAGGGTCAGAGGGAGGAGGCAGGAGCAATTCCTGACACAAAGCACTGCTTTGACCCTTTTGGTTCTTTTCAGTTTTTAACCTAGATTTCAAGATGAGTTGTTGTGGCTGTTGTGGTGGAAGCGGTCATTCCAGCAAGCAGATCATGTGCATGCCTATGCAGGCCACCTCTCAATCCTCTGGGTCTTGCTGTGGATCTTGCTGTGGATCTTCCTGTGGATCTTGCTGCAGATCGTGCTGCGGGTCATCTGGACAATCCTGCAAGATTGTGTATGTCCGCCCCATGCGATACTGTTGCGCTCCCATGATGGCATGCTGTGCACCAGCCCAATATAGCCAGGGTTGTTGTGCTCCAAAGAAGTGCTGCTAAAGACATCCATCTGGTCTTCTGACGGTTCACCCCAACAACCGGACATCCCTCTGGGAGATCCTGATGGTTCGCTCCTGGCTCTCACCCTGCTGAAATTACTGCTCAAAGCTACGCTTGCTCCTCTGCCTTCCTGCACACCTTTGCAAGCTATTTTCTCAACCCAGAAAAGAAAGCCACCACCCGCCAGCCCACACTGGTGTGTCATTTCCAGTACCTGATGGCTGATCTTCTGCGGATGCAAGATTGGATCTCGTTCTTTACCTGATTTCCCCGCACACCCCAAGCTTTTCCTCAGCCTTTTGCTGGAGCCAATAAATCTGGAAATCTGCTCTGCATCTCAGTTGTTTAAAGCATGTGCTTGACTTATCTCTTTACTGCGTTTACATCTGACCTTTTTCTCTAAGGAGCCTCAGGTGGCACACGTGGTTCTCCCTCTCTTTTAACGTCCACGACAACCCTGTGAGGTAGATTGGGCTGAGAGGCAGTGAATGGCCCAAGGTCACCCAGTGAGCTTTGTTGGCCAAGTGGAGATTTTAAGCCTGGGCTCTCGGTTCCTAGTGTGACACTAACCAAGGTACCACGCTGGCTCTCCTAACTTATACCATCTTACTTATTTAGGACTCTTACTGACTTATGTAAGGGTAGCTTATAAAAAATCAGCTCCAAAGTGGTCCCTGCCTTCAGACTCACAATCTAATAAATAAATAAATAAAATGCTTCTGGTTCTTCATATATATATATACAAGTCAGATATAGGATAGAAAGGAAGCAGGCCACCCAACATTCCCAAGAAGGAAATAGGAATATAGTTTTGCAATAACCCTGTTACCTTAGCAAAGATGACTGGAGAGACACTTTCTTTCTTAGAATCAGAGAATCATAAAGAGTTGGAAGGGACTCAGTCTACTCATCTAATCTACCCCCTGCAATGCAGGAATTGCAGCTAATACAGTGGTACCTTGGGTTACATACACTTCAGGTTACAGACTCTGCTAACCCAGAAATAGTACCTCGGGTTAAGAACTTTGCTTCAGGATGAGAACAGAAATGGTGCAGCGGAAGCGAGAGGCCCCATTAGCTAAAGTGGTGCTTCAGGTTAAGAACAGTTTCAGGTTAGGAACGGACCTCCAGAATGAATTAAGTACGTAACCACAGGTACCACTGTATTCCTTTATTGCATTACACAATACAAAAGGTTCTACACTCTCTGTTGTATTCTTCATCTGATACTCTGCAATAAGTCTCCATCCCTTCATGGAAAAGCCAGGATGAGGTCTGCAGTGGCACCATCAGGGCAGGATTTTGGCACTACTCAGCTGAATGCAACAGCACTAGTGTGCCACATTTTGAAGTGGGAGACTCAATACACATAAGAACAAAGAGGGAAATCAGTTCATCACTGAGGATGTTCTGGCAAAAAGGTGGCAGCTTCACTCTGAGGGGTACCAGGAGCTGGGAACTGGGCAAGGGGTTTAGAGAGAGGGTGGGATACCTAGGAATGAGACCTGAGAGACTAAACCAGGAGCCAACACTGCCCCCTATCCCCAAAAAGAAAATCAAAACTCTCTGGACCTGGGAAGATCACTGTTGCTGTTGCAGGCAAAGTCTCAGTCCAAACAGGAAGCCTATTTAAGTCCTTCCTGTCTTAGAGAGCCAGTGAGCTGGAAATTATAGCAAAGAAAATCAAGAGGCTTCCAGGCACAGCAATCCCAAAAGCACAATCCCCAGTTCAGGAGGGAGTTGTCCTCCTTCAAAACAGCCCTTCATAAGTGCTGCAATGCCACAGGCAAACCACTTAACATATTTTTGCCCTGAAATCCTGCAGTGTGATTAAAAAAAATAGGTCAAAAATGCCTCCTAGGCTCTCCTGGGAATTACAGTGTTGTTATAAGGGTGGGGGGGGGAGCACCAATCATACACCAAAACCTGTTCTTTAAGAGGGAGCGAGAAACTGAGACTTTAAGGTAAACTTCCAGATATCTGTACAGCAAGCAGAGATGAGTTTTGTTGGCAGTTACAGGAATTGTCCTTTGTGGTGGATGCCTCTAAGAACATAAAACAAGCCTGCTGGGTCAGGCTAATTTAAATTTTTAACACTGCATTTTCCACTGTACTTCATTTCTAAGTTATTCTTCCATTTCTCTTAATGATGATTTTAACTTCTTGATTTAATTTAGTCCTGCTAATGAGCTTACTTTCATGCCACAATTTTTCAAATATTCTATTCAAGAAGGTCCTTCTGAGTCCAGCCACCAAGTGCTCAGATATGATCTAGGCAGAAATAGTCCATAAGATTTTCCATTTCCAAATCATTTGGGACCAGCTTACTCTAAGCACTACTGCCTAAGGGCACTAGTTTTTTGCAGGGCTGCTGAAGAGCTGCTTGGTCTAAAAGAATATACAAGGATTCGTAACTGATATTTTGTCACCAAAAGAATAGAGCAGGCATCCCCAAACTCAGCCCTCCAGATGTTTTGGGACTACAATTCCCATCATCCCTGACCACTGGTCCCGTTAGCTAGGGATCATGGGAGTTGTAGTTCCAAGCATCTGGAGGGCTGAGTTTGGGGGTGCCTGGAATTGAAGAACATGGGGTAGCAGGCTAGCTTTAAAGACCTAGTGGAAAGTGTTTAGGGGAAGGTTGCTAGAAGGATGAATGGATGAAATATATCCCATAGTATGTGTGTTCTGATGTGGCCCAGGATATCAGTAAAACACGGAGGTTGGGGAGAAATAGGGAATACAAAGGATCTTCAGTATATTCATGCTTTATTGCACTGGAGACAGAAGAAAGAATGTAACAGGTAGACTTTAACAACATGCAAGATTCCAGATGTTAAGAACATATTGTAAATGATGTAGAATGGGGAGAAAATTGCAATCTGTTCAAGTCCATTGAAATAGCCATTATCAACATTAAGCACACTACTATGATAATGCTCTACATAATAATAAGCACAGAGAACTAAGTCACTGTCCCATGGAGCTTATAATCTAAATATCAACAAGGGGAGGGGAAGCAGGGAGGAAAGCGAGAGGCTGGGGTAATGAGAGGCTGGTATGAACAAATATTCAAGCTGAGTTTCAGTTTGGGTGATAAAGATTAAGGAGTAAAATTCAAGGGAGTGGTGGAAAGCCAGGAAGGCTTTGAAGGAAGAGGCAAAATATGAGCGACTGATGGATTTGTGGCTGTTTATGGCCTGAAAGCGGCTGTAAACAGATTCATCCAGCACACTTCCGACCAGGTGTTTAGCAGAGTTGAAATACAGTCCACAGCAAAGTGTGAGGAAATTGGCCCTGAGTCTTGATTGATGAGCAACACATAATCGTTCTGGGTAGATTACTTTCTTGCCTGTCATTAAGCTTCACGGTTGTTATTTACAGAGATTGCTGTGGATCCCCACAGCGGCAGATCTACTTGTGTCCTCTCAGCAGATCAAAACTGAAACTCTCTCAGTCACTCTCACATAATGCACTGCGCATGCACATGACTTCACTGTCTTATCTTTGCACCAGCTTCACACCCAGAGTTTCATCTTACATGCAGAAACTCACGGTTTTCTGAAAACGAATGACCAATAACCGCAACAGGATCCTGGTGCAAAAACTACTGATCTGATTTTACAAATACAGTGGTATCTCGGTTTTCCAACGTAATCAGTTCTGGAAGACCATTTGACTTCTGAAATGTTCAGAAACTGAAGCATTTACTTCCAGAAGCATTTACGTACGAAAAACTCAATATGGAAGCCGTGTGGCATGTTCGACTTCTGAAGCAGTTACTGCTGGGTTTTCAGCATTCGAAAACCAAAACATTCGACTTCCAAGATGTTAAAAAACTGAGGTACCACTGTAAGTGCTCCAGATATACTGTGGGTTTAAAAACATTATTGGCCATTGTGTTCAGAAAATAAAGCAACTGAATTTGTAAGGTGATGCTCAACAGCATTATAGTGTAGAGCAGCCTTTCTCAACCTGTGGGTCCCCAGATGTTGTTGAACTACAACTCCCATCACCCCTAGCTAGCAAGGCCAGAGCTCAGGGATGATAGGAGTTGTAGTCCAGCAACATCTGGGGACCCACAGGTTGAGAACAGCTGGTGTAGAGAATCGGCTCTTGTCTGGGCTGTACATTCTGGAATGCATGTATAAGAGCCGTACACCAGATCTGGCCATAGCCCAAATCCTGAACCACATCAGGCTGATTTGAGGGGGTGAGGGCTTTAACCAAGTTGAGCTGGGATAGCCCCAAATCTCTTGAGGTTGGATCAGGCCACCTAAAGTGATCCTTGGATCTCAAGGGGTGGGATGTTGGGTGGGATGAAGGAGAGGGGTGCAGCTCTGCAAAGAGGGCTGTTTGCATGAGGGATTCTAAACAGCCCTGAACCATCATCTAGCCCAGAGGTTTTCAACCGTTTTGAGTCCATGGCTCCCTTAACCAACTACATTCTTTCTGCAGCACCCCTGTGGGGCTCAGGAGCCCAGTTATGTCATGCCTTGCCTGCAGAGCTGGCAGTCTCTCACCTTTTCTTGAGCACCCTTCCTTGTGGAGTGTTCCCTCTGCCTCCTCTCCTCTCTCCTTGGGAGTCCACCGGGCAATTGCTGCTGCTGTCCCTGGTCTCTGAGCTGCCCCACCACCATCCCAAAGAGAGGGGCCTCCCAGAGGCACCATTCGCCTTCAGAGCTTATAGCCAGGGCTGCTGCTGCTGCTGCAAAAAAGCTGTGCACGCCTTTGGGAGGCAGAGATGCAAGAGGGCATCAGAGGAAGGAGGGAAGGGAGGAGGGATAGAGGCCAATGTTGCCCATGACACCCCTGACCATCATTCAAGGCACCCCAGGGTGCCACGGCACCCTGGTTGAAAACCACTGATCTAGCCGCATGTGTCTGGTCCCAGTAAAGAAACACATGTGTGCAATAAAAGCTGCTGCCTGCAGGGCTCTGCATCACCAGCTCATTCAACACAAGGAAAGCTGAGACCAGGATTGAATCCTTTGCCCACCAGCTGGTGAGCGGAGGGTGCAATTTTGCTAGCTGCAGGGATCTGCTTCACCTGTGGGGTACACTCTGGAGAAGCAGACCCAGATCTCTCCAGGTGGCCTGACCCGATTCCAAATCCTGACCTGATTCCAAATTATCTTTTTCAGTAGTTTCTGAAGGATACTTGGGATTTGCGCTACCTGTTATACCCTACTTGTGATCTTCAGACATGAAATCTAAGGGTTGTGTCAAACATTAATTCTACTCATTGCTATTAAAGGACATGTCTAAATTAAGTCAATACATTTAAATAATAATAATAATAATAATAATAATAATAATAATTTATTTATACCCCACCCCACCACTCTGGGCGGCTTCCAACAAAATATTAAAATACCATAATGCATCAAACATTAAAAGCTTCCCTAAACTTCTACTCTGAGTGGAACTGTGTTGGATACAACCCTACGTATAGAGTGATTCTTTGGGAACTTGGTATGGGCTTTTAGCAATGAAAACTTTTTTATATGCATAAAGTTTTGGTTCAGCACACAATTTGGCATTAGCACAATAATATAGGTCCATGGCCCAGTTCTTTAGGCTTGCAGTATTTCAGCATGGGGGACCAGCGATAGCTCACTGTGTAGGAGTTCAGAACTATCAGATTGTCAGAGGCAGGCGAGCCACTGGCTGCCTTTTCATTATGGCGGGGTGACATTTCATTTCCCCCGCAGTCAAGCTGGGGGATAGTAAAGCTATGCCCAGTTCTTTCGTCTCCAAGGTTTGAAGAAGTGCCATTATCAACACCTCCTTGACCCGATTCTCCTCCTTGAGCCTGAACTATTGATGTAGCGCCATGTTTTTCATCTGCACAGGATACAGCACTGTGCTTGTCATAAGCCATCTCCCCTGAAGGCTCATCTTCGACGTCCACTAGGATTGCAGTTGCCTTTGTCATCTCCCCTGAAGGTTCCCCTTTGACAGCAGCTAGGCTGGCTGTTGCACTAGCCATCTCCCCCGAAGGCTTGACACCAACTACGTAAGTACTTGCATGATGATCAGAGCTTGGACAGGTGCCATGACCCATCTGCCTTGGATTTTGCTCTTGAATGAAGACTACCTGCCCAGGTACACAAACAACGCCAAGCTGTTCATGGTGTCCAGTGTGTGGACAGGTGCAATTGTCACTTGTCTCAACCAAAGATTGCCCTGGAGAGCAAACTAAGTTTGTCACTGCAAAGTGTCCATTTCCGTGACTCGGGCTGTCACCGCAGTTCATTCTTCCTAAATACTGAGGTTAAATCTAAAAGAAACAAATAACCATATATATATATACATATATTTGCCTGAAAGGGGAGCGGGAGTGGAATAGGATTCCAGGGGGAGAAGGCAGAATCATCTTAAAAATCTGAAGGTAGGTTGTAAAGAAGTTAAAGGCTATTGAGTTCTCCTGGAGTCCAAGAGGACAGCTCCCAGGGCTCAGGCCTGAGAAAAATATTATAGGGCTGCCCAGATGTTGTTGGGATATAACTCCCATCAGTCCCAGTCATCAAAGCCAATGATCAGGGATAATGGGAGTTGAGGTCCACCAAAATCTGGAGAGCTGTAGGTTCTGCACCTTTGAAGTCTGAGAACACCCACATTTAAAAAAGATTTTTGCAGTCCTCAGACTCCTGTTCCTTTTCTTCCAGAATACGTCATTCTGCTTGAAGAACAAATAATATGGTACTCTGAGGTAGCGTGGAACACTTCATTTCCATTACTTAGCTACCACATATCAAGAGCTACTTCCAGGTCAAAGGGCAAAATAATCAGATGCCTTAAACCAGCGGTTTAAAAACATTATTGGCCATTGTGTTCGGAAAATAAAGCAACTGAATTTGTAAGGTGATGCTCAACAGCATTATAGTGTAGAGCAGCCTTTCTCAACCTGTGGGTCCCCAGATGTTGTTGAACTACAACTCCCATCATCCCTAGCTCGCAAGGCCAGAGCTCAGGGATGATGGGAGTTGTAGTCCAACAACATCTGGGGACCCACAGGTTGAGAACCGCTGCCTTACACCATAAGAATATGCTAGATCAGGCCAGTGGCCCACCTAGTCCAGTGTCCTGTTCTTACAGTGGCTGATGGGACACTCCTGGGGCACTTACAATAAGGACATGACCTTCTAGCAACTGGAATTCAGAAGCACACTGCCTCCAACATATCCATCAAGGTTAGTAGCCATCAATAGCCTTCTCCCCCACAAATTTGTCTCATCTCCTTGTAAAGCCATCAAAATTAGTGTCCATCATTGCCTCTTGTGGAGAGCAGATGACTTGCTCTTAACCGTGTCTACTGAGAAAGAACTCCTATTGAATTCAATGGAACTTGTCCCCAGGAAAGTGTTGCCTAAGTTTAAAAATAATAAGGAAAATCAACTTACCTGTTTCAACAGCAGCAGCTCATGGAAAGCAGAGAAGCTAAGTGATGAAAGGAGGGTTATTTAACATGGGAGAAGCCTTAAAAGTCGCTCTGCTCATCCATCCCAGGAAATGAGGCACTGCAAAAAGAATGGCGCAGTGGTACAATTTGCCAGCATAACATGCTTTTATCTGGTGTTTTCATGGTCCGCTCTCTTTCGTTGTGTGTTGACTCAGTCTGTACATCACCCCCACCCCCAAGTTTATTATAAAAAGGAATATATTCAGTGCTTCCCATAGATAATTAAACCCCTTTATCCAGCTTAATGACACAGTAGCTTTCATGGTAATCATGCCTCCATCATGGGGCTAAAAATACCTTTGGGGAGTTATCCCAGAAGGCATGCTTAGCCCCATTTTCCAGGTAAGATGACCAGTACTTGTGTGCAGTTTCTGGCTTGCTCACTGGGATTAAGTTTTTAGCCAGATGATGCTCAGTTTACACATAGGAATGCAGGAAGCTGCTTTATACTGAGCCAGAGCAATTGGTCCACCTGGCTCACTATTGTCTACACCAATAGGCAGTAGTTCTTTAGAGTTTCAGGCAGGGGATTCTCCCAGCCCTATCTGGACATGCGTGGAATTGAGCCTGGGACCTTCTGCACACAAAAACAGGAGACATAGGACATGAGCTTGAGACCTTCTGTGCACAAAAACAGGAGACACAGGACTGTTTTGAAGCCATCCAAGTTGGCAGCCATCACTGCCCCTTGTGAGATCAAGTTGCATAGCTTATGGCAATTAATGGACCAATGGTCTGACTCAGTGTAAGGCAGGAACCTGAGCCCCTCCATATGTTGTTGAACATCTGCTCCAATCAGCCCCTGCTTGCATGACCGATGACTGAGAATGATGGGACCCTAATTTCCATTATCTTCAGCCAACATGGTAAATAGCCAGGAATGATGGGGCTTCAACTCCACCTGCAAATTCTGCTACACAGTTCTTGTGGGTGGATGTTAAAGAGCTACCCCCCTCTCTCCAGAAGCCAAATGTGAAAACTTTGCAAAGAGGTTCAGACATGCCTCATGTTGTAGAGGACATAAAGTCCAGGCATTCATTAAGGAGTCACTGTATAATTAACTTATAGTGCAATAATACACATGTATACTCAGAAGTGAGCCTCTTTGTGTTTAATGGGACTTACTCCCAGGTAAGGGGCCACAGGATTGCATCTGAGGCTTTCTTGTGAGGAACAGGTGGAGAAGATTTCATGATCAGAGGGTCATAAGAATGTAAGAAGAGCCTGCTGGATCAGGCCAGTTGCCCATTTTGTCCAGCATCCTGTTGTCATTGTGTCGGCATCCTTCAGGGGTCGAGATGCCTGCTGGCTAGCCCCCAGCTGGATCATGCCCTTCCAGCCATGATGAACCCCCGACCTCTGGTGCGACGTAAATCAGTGACTCAGACTTCAAAAATCCTGAGCACGCTATATCAGCAGAACATACTGAGCAAACAGAACAGGCGTGAGGCTTGTGGAAACATACTAACAAGCTACAGATTTATTAAGCATAAATCAGGACAAAAGAAACATGTCGTCTCCCTTTCTTCTTTATTTGTGCTTCTGCCTTGTATTTTTATCTTGCGAACCACCCTGAGATCTTATGATGTAGGGCAGTATATAAATCTAATAGATAGATAAATAAGCATTTTTATACCAACCTGGGAGTTAGCTCAGGTGATCACTTACGTGTGACTTAAGCATCTAAAGATGACACAACAAATCAGGTCAGAGTAAGACTGAACACAATGTGTGGGTTGTTGAACCCCAACACTGGCCTTCTCAAACTGGAACCTGGAAATCCTGCTCTAATTCTTGCTAAGTATGTCATTTCTGCTAACAGTGACCTCTTTGAACATCTTTCAGGGAGCTGTCCAGCAGTGGGAGGCCAAAGCTGTAGCAAAGCAGATGGGGGAGCTGTCCAAATGTGACAGAACTGAGAAATGTGATGCAGGGCTCACATTTCACACACACACACAAAAAGGTACAAAAGTGCTCATATGAGGGGAGAGTGTGAATTAAAATTAAAATATTCATGAAAAATTAAATTTAAAAATCCAGCCCCAAATCCATCCTCAAATTTAGTTCCGCTTTTAGGCATCATTTTTATTGGAAGGGGCTTGAAGACTACTTTGTTAATCCGAAAGCTTCAAAACCCAGGATATTTTGGAGCTGGATTGAATGAATGGAAAGAGATGTTTTGCCATTTATTACCCATTGATGAACTTGTTTGGGATCTGCAAAGTGGTACATGTAAGAAAGGGGCCACCTGAGGACGGCCCTGGCTACATTTGAATACATTTCACACAGATGTCAGTTTCACACGGGTACCTATTTGGACATCTGGAGGTCTTGTGTTATAGGTTTAAGGGGTCACCAAATCCAAGAGTCATGAGATCTACTCTTAGATCAGGAGTAGCCAACAAGGTACCATCCAAGGATCTGGATTACAGCTCCCATAATCCCCAGCCATAGGCCATGGTGATGAGGTTTGCAACACCTGGAGGGCACCACGTTGACTAACCATGCCCTAGATAATTTGTTCCAGTTTTCCAGAATAATCTCTATGTTAAGAACTTGCCTTGACACCAATCTCCCAGGACATTCCAGTGATAGGTGCAAAGCCACTTTGTTCTGTCAACTGTAGACTCTTGTGAGCAAAACTGTTTTTTATTAAGAAATGACCATGAAAGTTAGCATCTTGGGTGATTTTGCAATTTTTATTGTGTTTCAATCAACGTAGAAAGTGTGAAGGTGGAAGATAATCCAAGCCATCAACAAGGCAATTTTGGCATCATCTGCACTTGCCAACAAACTTGCTTTCTTCACTGATCAGATCATCACCAAAGGCTTTTCAAGGATTAATCTTGCACAATGAGTAGCTGTCACAATGCTTTGTGTTTCACCAGCAATGAAATATGTAGAATGGGGGAGAGGAAAAAACACTACATCAGGAAGACGGGGGTGTTGTGCTTGACACTGGGGGTGGAAGAAACGAACTTGAGATGGATTTGTGAGAGGTCTCATTGAGTTAGTGCATAAAGGGGTTAAGACAATAAAGCTGGATTCATAGACTAGCTAGGTAACGCCCTCTCTTCTCTGATGCAATGAGTTGTGCAGAGCAAGGAATAAGATTGGCTGTTTATGGGACCTGGTTTCTGATGATGGTCAGCTGACCAAACTATGGGGTCAGCAGTTAACAGTACTCATCAGTCCAGCTGTTTAGAAGACACCAGCAATTCACAGGGCCTTCCCCAAACAAGTGTTTCGGACTACAACTCCCACATTCATCCTCATCCCTGTCCATTGTTAATGCTGGATGGTGCTGATGGAAGTTTTAATCCAAAACAACTGGGGGATGAAACTGGTCTCATTTATCTGGCTGGCTGAGAATATGGCAAAGAAGCTTCACTGCTGGCCCTTGGTGTCTTCAAAGTCCCCCTTGGGGCCATGCAGGTAGCCACTTCCAAGGGAAATCATGAGAAATAACCAGTCATAAATCACGAGCAAAGAGTAAAGGTAAAGGGACCCCTGACCATTAGGTCCAG